TATAGGGAATCATGACTGCCAAACAGATCCCAAGGTTTAGGATTATTTTTTATATATTATATTTAGGATTATATTAAAGGAAATAATGATGGCTCAGAAGTATACAAAAATATAAGTCCACTACATATGTATCTCTGTAGCTTTGTGTGTAATGATAGAAAAAAAATCAGAAAAATGCATTCTGAGGTATCAACAGTGGTTATTGCAGCATAGCAAAGCCACTGGTGATTTAATAATTTTTCCTTTCACTTATTTCATTTTTTAAATCTCCTATAATGTATTTGTATTATTTTTAGGATAAAAATAATTAAATTGCATTTCTAAGTTCTACTTTTGAGGGTATTGGTATTGAGACAACAGTCATTGTGTGTACGCACAGTAAGTGTGAAGGTGACACAAGGGCACACCATGTTCTATAGCAGTGGAGAGATACTCAAGTCATGATGGAAATAGGGAAGGCATGAGAGTAATGTCGGTGAAAGAATGTGGCAGGTAAAGTGAAAAGGGCATGCCCTGTCTGGAGGGGCAGCTCTGACTCATTGCCAGTGGACTGTTGCAATATGAGACTAATAAGCGTGATATCAATTTTTCATGAGATGGCAGATATCTAGATTTTTTTATGTGAAATTTTTTAATGTTGCAAATAAAGTATTTTTTAATTGTCAGCACTCTATCTGCCAAACCAAAAATGTCTGCAGGTAGATGTTAATTCCAGGCAGTGCATTTGGACCTCTGTGATCTGTTGCTTCATACTTTGATAAATTAGTTTACAGTGCTTCCAGTGACATCAAGGCACACATAAAAATACAGTAATGCTTGTACAGCCCACTGAAAGAAGCTTCTTGTTGCCTAGAGGTACTGGAAAACTGTGGCCCCCTAATGCTTAGGTCTCAGCCCTCCCCCCTGAATTATTGAGGGACTGAAGAGCCAACTATCTTGGGCATCCCTGTAAACCACTGTAGTCCATTTGCAGTACCCACCATGGCAGAGCTCACTCTGCATTAGAAAGCATGGAATAATGCCTGGAGGAAATGAGATAAACATAGTTTATGGTGGTGGAGAATAGAGAACAGGAATATGGGAAGAAATCCCAGGATGTGGAGAAGTATTTGGTAGATAGCAGGAGGGTGATTGGCTGGGCTTGAGCACCTCAATGAAGAAAGTGAGCTCTGACCAGCTGGTGTGAAGTTCATTGAGAACAAGGAGCACAAAGGTCTGTATTTTGGGTTTCTGGTGCAGAGGCTGACATAGAAAGTGTCTAAAAAATGTTTGTTGAATAAAGGAAATGCAATCCCAGGCCACTGATTTAGGAAGAAGAGGCCTTGCCTCAAAGTTCTACCACTGTTTGGGGATGGAAGGTAGAAGTGTCCTTGATCTACCCCAGCCATGGACATCTCCATCCCCCCACAACCTCCCCACCCCTCACCCCCTGCCAAGAATTTTCCTTATCTCTGTGGATCACACTGGCTTTTCCTACAACTCTAAAAAAATACTCTATGATTGATTTCTCTTTCCTACCTCCTCCTTTTCTGCTTCCCCCTACAACCTGCCTCCCCCACAATAGGTTATGGTACAAGAAAGGAAATGCTCGTTAATTAAATGGACTGAAGGTGCACAAAGATTGCCATGAATGTCTGCCTGAAGACATCTTTAAGGAGTGTTGCTTTCTCTTTTCTCCCTGCTCCTTGCATAACTCCCTCACCTCCACCTCCCACAAGAGGTAAGAAGGGCCTTCCTCCTTCTGGAGATGTTACAGCAGCTCTTTGCCCTGGGGCAGAACTTCTGAAGTGCCAGATAAGACAATTCAAATTATTGGTGTGGATCGTGAGGAGGGGGAATAATTATAATAATCCTTCTGAAACTGGGAAGGTTTACTTTCAACAAATCTAAAGGAGGAACTAATTGAGTGGTCAGTTGGTCATTTATTTAAAAATTAGGTTTTAATGAAGCATTACTATGTGATTTTAGTTATATAATTCTGAAAGAGTTCAAATAATCATAGGTCATTGTAATGAGACTGCCCTTCAGTCCCATCTTTTTATGCATATGACCAAGTTTTCTCAGAACTTACATTAAAAAATAAATTAAAATGTATGTCTAATTCTAGCAATAAGTAATATTAACCCAAAGATACATAAACTAATTGAAAAAGACCTTATCACAGTAAAAGATAAATTTACAATAAAATGTTAGCCTTCTATATTTAACATTTATTTAAATGTGTCACATTGTTTGATCAGGTCTATCTATTAGTAACTATAATGGTAACTAAGTACAGAAAAAAAAAATAACAGCATCATAGAACTAGAGAACATTTCAATTCGTATGCAAATTTTTATTGAAAGAATTACAATAGAGGGATCAATTAAAGATTTTCAAGCCTCAAATATGACATTAGGATAAAATTTTGTGAGAAAAATGGGATGGAAATATGAGTTTGAGAAGAAAAAGAATTGATGTGAAATTTCTGACAGTTAAAACGAGTTTGTTATATGTGTTTTTAAAATGATGTGGGAATCAAATCTCTATGGTAGTTACATTCCTTGATTACATTTAAGAGTGATGTCATAATTTAATTTTAAACATGCCATAGTTATAATATGTCACAAATCATATCCTTTACCACTATTTAAACTTCTGATGAAAAACCTTAAATGAAGTTTAAAAACATATGAGGGAATACAACATTTTTCAAAATTATTTTAGGGAGCTTGCAAGCAGTCTAAAGACCACTGGCTTAAGAGCCAGGACCAGATTTAGGACCAAATAAAATCCTATTTCCCTTTTACCCAGTGGTAAGAGAGACACTCCATCTTTGCAGTGGTAATAATGGGTCTCACCATTCCCTTCTGCAGGGAAGCAGGTACTAAAGAACACTGCAAGAAAATCTCAGTGATAGGCTGTTACTCACAGCAATAAAGAGAAAACATCTAGAGTATTGGGCTTGAAATAATACTTCTAAGTGCATCATTCACAAACTTGTAATTCTAGCCCAGACCTCTCCTCTGAGTTTTAGATTTACATTTTCAGCTGCCTGTGACAGAGCCACATGGTACCTCTTACTGGCTGTTTGCCCAGATCATGTCCACTATTCCAATGCTGATACCATGATTCTCCTTTGGAAACAAACTGGTTTCTCTTCTCAAGAAATATCCCTTCCTCAGAATTTTAGTATCTTGGCCCCTGCCCCTGCCACTGTGGTGGCAGTACTCCTGCCGCTCAGTACTCCTGAATTGCCTGGAGGCTGGGGCATGAAAGACACAAGAGAAGGGGAAGAAAGATTTAAAAAAAATTAAAATCCTGGTGATTTCTTCTATTTTTCCTGAGCTTTAGGGGTTCCCGTTCTTGCTTATTGGGCCATACGTAGGGCCTTCTTCTGGAGGGTCCATGCCCTGTTTCCACTTCTGGTTTTGGGCTGCCCCAAGTCCAGGCTAGGAAATACTGGAGGGAAAAGAAAGTGGAAAACTCGCTGCTGGTTCAGCAAGACTTCAAGTCTCTTCTTTTCCAACGTGCCTGCTATTATTCCATTTTAGAGTACTCATGTGTTTTGTCCATTTTATATCTGTATTCAGTGGTCAGGATGGAGTCAGCTTACCTGGACCTGGAACCTCTGAATTCTATAACTTAACTTCATATTCTAGGATAAGCATTTGCCATTTTTGTTAAATAGTTAATGGGTGCATGCCACACTCCTGATTGGACATTGAAGTTGTTTCCAGTTTCTACCTATTATAAATCGTGATGAGTTTATAGTCAGGAAAATTTCTCTTTTTGTGAGGCCTAGGTCTTTCAAGCAAATTCCTGTTATGATGAGACTCTCACCTTTTCACCATCAGACTGTCTCTTAAACTAGCTGAAGCTGGTAGGTGTTAAGTTATAAGCAAAATCAAGCAGCTCTGTTACAGTGCAGTAGTTTGGATTTAGGGACATATGTATTTGACCTGAAAGACTTAGAGCAATGCAATTTGAGGGTACATGGGTGGTCCAGTTTGTGCATGCTTGGCCCTGTTGACAAGACCTGTGAATATATCTGGATAGTCCTGTGAATGTCAGAGCCCTCTGGCATTCTCAAGGATAGCTTGGCAAATAGGATGCAAGTCAGTGTGGTGTTTACACCTGCTGGAACCCACAGGAAGTACTGCTTTCCTCTCCTAGTTTGAGGCACACACCCTGTCTTCTTGGGAGACCCACCACATCCTGATGCTCCCAATTCTCCGCCACCACTGTGCTCTGTCTCTTCCTGGAGTGGTGAGAGTTACAATCCTTACTCTCTCCTGGGCTAGTGACCCTCATCTTTCCACCTCTCTGAGTCTGCAGAGTGAGAGGTGGTGTAAAAGCTTGCTTTTCATTCTATCATAAGTCATGAATCTCTTTGCTCTGTATAAAGGCTCACTTGGTGAAAGAAAATAGGAACCATATTTTAGTTCCAACTTGGGTAGTAGGAAACTATTCTAATTGTCTTCTGTCAAGATTAATTGTCTATATGGTTCTCTCCAGAAAGTTGGTTAACAGTTTACATTTCCACTAAAAATATATGACAGTGCCTGTCTCACCACACCCTTACAAGTAATTCTCATTTTTAATATTCATTAATTTGACTGATGAATTATGGCAGTTGGTTTCCTGTTTTAAATGTATGTCTCTTTAATTGCCTGTGAATGGAATATTTTTCATATTCACTGCCAGTTGAATTTCCTCTTTTGTGACTTGTCTGTTTCCCATCTATTTGCCCATCTATTTCCCCATGTATTTTAAAGTGTTGTATTTTTAAAGATTTAACATTTTGTATTTATCATTTAGAAAAACTAGTGGGGAAAATAAAAAGAAGTATAATGAGACTGTTCTCCAGTTCTGAAATCATTTTGCTGAATTGTTTATTCTTGGTCTACCTCAAGAATGATGGCAAAGTTTTCATTAATAACTGAAATCTAGAAAGACTCCAAAAGCCTAAATTAAGATAATGGCCTAAGTTTTCTTCTCCCAACTTCCTGATCAAACAGGTTACCAACGCTTGTCTTCCTGCCCTGCCTGCCCTCTGGTGGAGGCCAGATCAAGCAGGGGAACAGTGAAAAAGATGGAGGTAAGCCAAACGGCAAGCCAGTCCCTGAGTAGTTAGAGAGACAGTATTTGACTCAACAAATCTCTCTTTCCTGGTTTTTCTAACATTGAACAGGGATGGCAGAATTTACCATAAGACCTATTCCCAAACTGGTGCCTTTCTGCAGGTATTGCTCTCTACCTTTGCTCTTGCTGCCCTGGATAATTCCTGAACAGGAAAAACATTGCTCATTTTTCTATCTGGAAGAGAACATGGGGTGATATAATATAAAGCAGTGGACTAGAAAATGAAGGTTCTGTTCCCAGCCCTGGTATGTGCTAATCAGCTGAGTGCCTTTGGATAAGTCCCTTTACGTCTCTGAATCTGGGTTTTTCATCTGTAAATCAGGAGCAATGATATTAATGGGTCTATTGGGAGACTCAGATAAGATAATGGTAGTGAAAGAACATTGTAAACAGTAAACCACTCTACAGATCTACGGTAATATTAATGTAGTATTGACAACTGTTTTCTCTCAATCCATGATTAACTTGACTTGGTTGCCTTTGCATTTTAAAATAATAATCAATTTATGCTTTTAATATTTAGCAAATAAATGGAGCTTTTGTCTCAAATCCATTTAGAAAATGCAATTCGCATGTTCCAGTGTGACCCAGGTCTGTGTGTGTACTCTCTAAATTGCACTTTCATTTTTGTTTTAATTATAGCATTGAAAGAGTAGAAGCTTTAAAATTACACCTTTCAGAACTAGTCATTACTTAGTACTCTGTACTTCAAAAATATTGCTCACGTCTTTAAAATAAATTAGCAGGTTCTTTTATTATTACCTTGGCCTATGTATAAATTTATTAATATGCTGATGATAACGGTTTTGAGTGTTTTTTAAACATTTCCTTGAAACTAATAATTTAGAAGATATTTAAACATACTAAACATATTAAAGTTAATTATTAAACATATTAAATATTTAAATTCAAGTGAAATGTTTAAATTGCTTATACATTTTGTTCTATGTGGCTGAAGATAAATATGAAAATGCATAGAATTATATAACTGAAAGCATTGAGAGTTCTGCATTCCTTTCCCTGCTACATACACAATTTCCCCTACCTCCTCTCACCCACTTTAGTATGATATACTGGAAGAAAAGCAAAAAAGGTAGCTATCTGAAAAGAGAACTGTGAAAAGGTAACTCGTTCAAGTCACCATTATACTTGCAAAGGTGTTATAATAGCCGCCTATCTGGCTTTCCTACTTCAGGTAGCAAGAATGATTCTTTTAAAATCCAAGTCAGATAATGTCACTTAGATGCTCAAAAACCTCCAATGGCATTTACTCCTTAGTCCTGATTTCCTGACCATACTGAGGCAGGAGTAGTTGGACGCAGGCAGATAGAACTCGGTGGCCCGGGGAACTAAGGTCATGGCTTTGCAATACACAAAAAAACTGCATCCTGGAAAGTCCTGCCTGAAGATGGGAAAGTCTTCCCAACCCCATCTCGGTGCTGGCAGCAACTCACAGCCAATTGTGGGGACTTCTTCCTCCAAAAAAAGCTCCAATCCAACCCAGCCATTTGAAAGTACACTTAGGCAAATAGACCTCAGCCCTGATTGAGTACTCCCTATGTAAAGAGCATGGTCCTTAAAGTTAATCAGGAATGAGTGCCCTATGCAAATGGAGCATCATACTTTCAGCCCATCAAGAGTGAGTTGTGATGTTATCAGTTCACTTATTAGGTCCGCAGGGTGTGGGCTCCCTCCTTCTTCAAAGTTTATAAACCCCCCCCAAGACCCAGCCACCTCAATAAGGGCAGGGAAATCAGGACTAAGGAGTAAATGCCATTGGAGGTTTCTGAGCATGTAAGTGACATTATCTGGATTTTAAAATAGCATCCTCTCTTGGAGCCCCTCTGGCTAGCAGGAGTTTTTCTCTTTCTGTTCCTCATTTAAAGGTTTGCTGGTTTCTCTGTACTCTTGTCTGCTGGCTTCATTCTTCGTCACCGCCGAGACACGATCCTGGGAAGTGCAGCATCTCAGTCAGTAAAAGTACCTCACTTCCTCAGCCCATTTTAGCCTCCTTGGCCACACCAGGTCCAAGTTCAGCCTTGCCCTGGAGTGTACTTCCCTCAGTTATCTGTAGGAGTGGCTTTCTCACTTCCCTGGGGTCTACTGTTAACCTCAGTGGGGTCTTCCCTTTCACCTCCTTTAAAATTGCTGCTCTCATCACACTCCTGTATTGCTTCCTTCTATAATGCTTATCACCTTATAACATATAATATACTTACTTCTTTTGTTTATTATCTGCCTTCCCCTCCATAAGGTAAGCCCCATGAGGGCAAAAGGTTTAGTTTGTTTTGTCTATCCTCAAACCCAGGATCCTAAGTGCCTGGATCATAGTAAATGCTCAGTAAATGTTTGCTGAATGAATGAATACAACAAAGACAAATCATGATCTTACTTGATTTACAACACCGTAAAAATTGCAAAATTTTCATCAAACCTTTTTTTTTTAAAGCCAGAAATTTTTGGATATCTTCTGATGCTAAGACCTATTGCTATAACATCCATGGCATCAGTGTTCTCCTCTTCCACCTGTCTGCAAATATTTTGGTCATTCTGTGACTCAAGAATTGAGATCTCTGTTAATCCATCATTGTCTCATTCAGTATAAGTATAATTGTGTAAACCACTCCTAGTTCATCATGAAAGGAGGAGAAAATGGAATAATAATGAAATATCTGTCCTTTACTTTCTTTACACTATAACCTCCTGATGATCAGAGTTTTGGCCACCCATTTTCTGATTTATCTTTCTCCCCTGTTCCCAAAATATAGGTATTAGCAAAGAACCTTGTTTGAATTTCCTCGCTTGCTTTGCATGCTCTTGTCTACATTTATGGGTTCTGTTATCTCATTTTTTGGATTACTCTCAAATTTGTAAGCCCAATCTTGACATTTCTTATTGGCTTCCAGTTCTCCATGTCCCAGACTGAGCATATCCATCTAGCCATCTTTCAAATTTTCAAACCTCATATATTAAACACATTTTTTTCTTTTAAAACTGGCTCCTGTTCCAGTAATCTGTTTCCATTAACTCTGCCTTTTTTCAAGTTTGGAAATGTTTCCAAGGCTTGTAATCATTCATGATATTCTTCCACACTGTTAGTTGTCAAGTGTTGCTATTTATAATTCTAGAATGTCTCTTGATTCATCCTCTTCTGTGCTTTCAGATCAGTGAGGCCTGAGATTTTGCATTTCTCATCTGCTTCTGAGTCAGGCTGCTGTTGCTGGTGTGTTCACACACTTTTATTAGCAAGGGCCTTCTCTAGGTTAATGATGGCCACCTGAATCTAGTCTTCCACTTCCCAGTCCATGGCTGTGTCTAAGACAGACTCAGTTCCCTTCAGAAATAGAGGCCTCCTATTGCCCAGTCTTGCTTTAAAAGAAAAAAGTTATTTTCTCTATCATAGAAGATTGGAAAGTTGCAGAGACAAAAGATAAAAAATTCAAACCAGCCACATTGATCAATCCACAGTAAATCATTAACATTTTGATACATACCCTTTCAGTCCTTTCTTTCTTTACATGTAAGTATATATTCAGGTTGTATCTGTATTTTTTAAACCATAAAGGGGTCATTTATTTATTTCTTTAGTTGCCCAATATATACATTTGCTAAGTGTGTTGAGTCCCATCTTATAAAGTAGAATGTGCCTTGTCTATATGATAAAAATACTCAGTGCTTCTTTTCTCAACCTCCCTTACATTTGGGAACTGGAGAGTTGGTGCAGCCAAGCAGATGCATCCTCCCTAGACTTTGATTCAGGAGCTGGTGACTCAAAGCAGCAGGGATGACGCAGAGTCCGTTCTGGCCAGGGCACAGAGGCAACGGCAGCTGCATCCGGTTTCCAGTGGCACCAGGGACAGCTGTTCTGTGGCATTGTGCAGTGTCCAGCATCCAAGGACTTGGCAGTGCGAGCCGTGGGTCAGTGCTTGGCAGCTGCCACAGTGACTTCACAGGAGTTGTTCTGCAGAGCACTTTGGGAGTGGTTCTTGCCAAGTGGTTTGTCTTCCCACCTTTACTTCTTAAATTGGCTTTAAAGTTGACAACTCATTGGAACAAATACTAATAATACTAATAACTAAATTATACATTGTTTTTATTATGTGCCAGGAAAATTTCAAAGTGCTTTATGTACATTGATTCATTTAATGTTTATAACAACCTATGACATATACACTAGTATTATTCTCATTTTACAGATGATATACCAAGTTACAGAGAGGTTAGGTTACTTGCTCAAGGTCACACAACTGTAAATGACTGTTCTGAAACCTAAACCTAGTCAGTCTGTCCTAGTTCTGAAGAGCTCTGACTGATACAAGTTTTATTACCTAATTTTTTCATATAACAAAATTTCATGAGCATTTCCATGTTAAGTATTTATATAAATATTTAACGTAGCTGCATAGTCAGTGTTCAGTTATAAGGATGATTGGTGGTTTATTTAATCAACTTGCTATTCCTGAACATTAACAATATCCTAGTGATGAAACTTACTATTTTTAAAAAAATATCCATGACTATTTCCTTGGGATAAAGTCCTAGAATTGGAATGCTTGAGTTATACCGATTGCCTTCCAGAAAGATTATTGCAGCAGTGTATGGGAGCATTCTGTTTCCCTGAGTCCTTATTAGCATTGAATGTTGTCATTAAAAGTTTTTTTTCTTTGTGGTACTGAAAATTACAGTTTTCTTTTAAACCTGAAATTCTTTTTTTTATACAATCACATGAGCAACATTGTGATTACTAGATTCCCCCCCTTATCAAGTCCCCACCACATACCCCATTACAGTCACTGTCCATCAGTGTAGTAAGATGTTATGGAGTCACTACTTGTCTTGTCTGTGCTATACTGCCTTCCCTGTGCCCCCCCCCATTATGTGTGCTAATCATAATAAAACCTGCAATTCTTTAAACATTAAAAAATTGATTAGCCATTTGTCAAATGTTCTTGTGTGAATTGACTGTCCCATCACCCATGGGACAAAGTGGAAACTTAAAGAGAATTCAATGCTCTTTCTACTCCAACCCCAACTGCTTTTCTAACTAATTCTCCTATAGGTCCTAAACATTTACCTTAGAACCATATGAATGTGCTATTTTTGTAGGCCAAGAAAGTGGTTGACTATTGATAATTTCATATGGTTAAACTTTATAAACCTCCAAAACATTTTCACTTCCACTAGAGTATTTTCACAAAGAATTTTGCCTCTCTTTGAGAAATCCTCCTCAGTCTTTATGAGGCTGAATATATTGGTCATGTCCCCTACCTACTTACTCCTTTGCCATCCTTCTGTTCCTCCTCTCACTCCAGTGTAGGTAACTGAAAACCACCCCCCTTCACCTTCTCACTCTGCTTCTCTCCTTTCCTATATAGCTGTAGAGTGGTCCCAGGTTATTGCAGCTGGATAATACTTTTGCATCTGCCTGGCCGAGCTCTGTGGTGCTTTCTGCTAGCAGAGACTGTCTTATTTATTTTGGCAGATACAGAGCTACCAAGGTTTCCAGCTTATAGAAGATATGCAACAAATATCCGTTGAATTGAATAACTAGTAAATTTAGGGTCCAGGAAGTGTCTTATTAGCCAAACAGTAATTGCAGTTTCCTTCCATGTTAGATAAGGAAGAGCACATGTAATGCTCTCTAATATCTTCTAATTCAGTTGGTTGGTGTTTGGAATTGGTCCTCCTTATTTTGAATCCTCCATCCTTCTAATTCATATTTTCAAATGTGGTGATTATATTGCAATTCAATGAAATTAATTTATTTCATGGTACAATTCTCAAGGATCAAGCAACACAATTTTCTAACTAGCTAAATAAGTAATTGATGTACTTTCTAAGAAATAAGTTTTATTTATTCCCTCATCCATTTTCACCTTTTTTTCTTAGGTGGGCTTGGAGGAACTTTTAGCAACTTCCAGGAAATACTAATGCTATGGATAAAGTTATGATATTAACACAAGCTTCAGGAAACATTAAAAATTTAAACTAAATCTTACTAAGACAAAGGTGTCTGTTTATAAAGAGACACACCGCACAATTTAAATTGCCCTTACAGGAAGAAAATTATGGAATTAGAGAACTTTAAAGGTAGAGAATATCCCCAAGTTTTTCAGTATGTACTCTTTGCTGGAAAAATATCAAGTAAGAGTAGAGGGGAGAAGATGATAGTCTGAGCTAAGCTTTGGCTCCGTGTTCCCTTTCCCAGTTAATTTTCAAGTGATGTCGCAACCCTTGCTCATCCTCTCTCAGCCATGTGCCCTGCCCCAGCCATGCCTTGAACAAGTTCGAATACAAGCGGTCTCAATGCCAGGCCCTCTCTTTGCATATCTAATCAGAAGGGACTTGGTGCCCTGTTCCCTGCCTATCCACCCCCCATCACCCTCCCGGACATACAGACAGATTTGGCCTTTTCTTTCCTGCTTGCTCATAAGCATGTGTCTGCTCTGAATTTTGCCATTTGTAAGTGGGCTACTCTAACCAGAACTAGTTCAATTACCAGATCCAAAGATATAGAAGAACTGGGTGATATTTTTAAATAGAGGGTCACATGTTATGATAAGAAAAGGAAAAACAATTATTAGCGAGAATGTGGAGAAATTGGAACCTTCATACACTGCTGGTGGGGATGAAAAATGGTAGTCACTTTGGCAACAGTCTGGCAGTTCTTTAAATAGTTAAACATAGAGTTACCATATAATTCAGCAATTCCACCCCCAGGTGTACCCTAGAGAAATGAAAACATAAGAGCATGTACATGCATGTTCATTGCATCATTATTCATGATAGCCAAAGAGTAGAAACAGCCTAAGTGTCTATTAGCTGATGAATGGGTAAATAAAATGTGACATATCCATTAAGTGGAATATTATTCAGCAATTAAAAGGAATGAGGTTCTGATACATACTATGACATGGATAAACCTTGAAAACATGCCAAGTGAAAGAAACCGGTCATAAGGTCCACATATTGCATGATTCCATTTATATGAAATTTATAGATAGGCATATCTATACAGACAGTAGATTAGTGGTTGCCTACAGTGCTAGCTAAGTAGGCTAAGCAGGGTTTCTTTTTGGGATAATGAAAGTGTTATAAAATTGATTGTGGTGATAGATGTACAAGTCTGAGTATACTAGCCGTTCAATTGTACACTTTAAATGGGTGAATTATACAGTATGTGAATTAGAAGTCAATAAAACTGGAAACAAGAAAGAAGGTGTGTGTGTGTGTTTTCATTTAATTTTGTCTCTTAGTACTTCTTTGGCTAGCTCCCATGCTTAATTTCAGACTTGCTTGCCCTTTGAATTTGCCTAAAGTCCAGCCAATAGCTAGTGCAGCAGGGTGGAAATTTAACTCACAGTACAACTCAGACACAAAGAGAAAATATAAGTTCTTTATTTAGTCTATAACCCATCTGCTTTCCTCCTGAAGCCCCAACTGATGGATAGTAGAGAAAATGAGTGGCATGTTGGGTCCCCAGGCTCTGGGAGGCCAGTAAGATGGAAGGAATGGCTAGGACTGATTTACCTGCAGCTAACATAGTATTTTTGCTGCCACTAGATCCACTCAGATGAGCAGTGCATGGGGCAGTGTAGTGCTCCATACATGGGATTCAGCATTCTTGTCTTGGCTCTTGGTTCTGTACTTTGCTTTGGTCTCTGTTTTCTATGTGATTCAAGACTTGCTTTAGTCTCCTGGATGTGTGCACTCCATAACTCATGATGGCTCTCCTGACTTCTGCCTGCTGACTCTGTCTTGAGCACTGGCTCCCAGGCAATACCTATGTCTCCAGGTTTGCTGTATTCCTGTAGCTGGTCACAAGGTTCATTATTTTAGTCTCTTAGCTGTAGCTTCTTATCCCAGCTCTTTGATCAGTAGCTGGTTAGGGTGATAAAATGATTGTTTGTGATTTCATCAAGTATTATTGCTTAATAGAATACGTACAGTTATTCCCTTCTTCTGAAAAGGAAGATTTAAGAGCACTCTAAAATGTTTTAAATGAGATACTTAAGAGCACTCCAAAATGCTTTAAAAATAAAATTTGGCATGTTGTTATACCTTTGTATTAATGATGATATGAGTACTTATTTTACTTTTTAAAGCTCTATTTTTGTTTTTAATGAAGAAAACTGCCTGAATATTAGCACTTTGATACAAAGTATTTTGGTACAAAATAATATTATATTGTTTGGCCCAGGAGGGAGATAAATTGTGATGTATATTTGCTTTTCAGATTGTTTTATCTTGTCCAAACCAAGTCAATGATGTGACAATTCAGAAGGGAATTCTGAGAACTTACTGGTTGCTTTGAGCAATTTGTATTCTGAAGGGTGGTTACCTCTACAAACAAATGAAAATGTTTCAAAATTGGCTTTCATTTAGGAGTGAATAGGACTGTGTTTTGATGTAGTGTCCTACAGTTTTGAGTGCCAATGCCTGGGAGGTTTTTCTTTCTTTTTTAATACTACATTATTTTAGGGAAAAAACTTGAAATTTAAGAATATTTAATATCATCTGAATGCATATTGAGTTTACAAAGAGGCAAACTTGATTAAAATATTTGACTACTAAATGAATAAGGATTTGGGAATTTATTTTATAGGATTTTAAAAATTCAATAGATGCTTTCTATTTGTGTGTGTCTCTATGTATGCACACACATATACAAATTAAAAATTCAGGGGGCTATATATAAATATATATGTATATAAACGTATATAGAAAAAATGAATAATAAATATATATATATTTTTAGGTATGTTGATCTAAGATTTGATTGGATATAATTTTCACATTATCACCTAAACAAAATCATTCCTGTTGATTCATAAATTCATAAATCATACTTGTTAATTCACTAAGAAGTGAAAGGATGATATTGCCAATTTAAAACAAGTGTACTCTCAGAGTCTGATAGATGACTGATGGCAAAAGAATCTGTGGAAGAGTATCAGAGGGATCAGTGTCCCGATGAGTACACTGCCTTCAGACACACTATTCTAGACAACTCATGGCACCAACTTTTCAATGTTGATGTTGTGGGACTTAATACCATTAACCCGCCAAAAGGTTCCTATCCTTTTTATCGACAGTATGCAGCGAATATCCCTCTTCAGTGGCATTAATCAATGTTAGTATTTATTCTTTTCATTACAAGTGTTTTCTTTAATTATTCTACATCTTATTTCCTTAGTTCAATAATTTTTTTTTCAGAAAGAAATGAGTAAGACAAAAATGGCAATATTTTGTACAAAATTTTTTAAAGGTGAAAATGTTTTGACATTTTCTTTATTCTTTATTAAAGTAGATTTGAACAGAACTCCTCATCTGCTTTGACCTAACTTTATTCTTCTTGAAAAGAAAAAAGAAAAATACATTTTCTCTAAGAATGTTTGCTTTTGTTTAGTTTTACAATAAATCACCAAATTGGACATTGTACAATAAAATAGAACTTGTCAGTGATAAGTGAGCCGACTTCCAAACTAAAATTTGATGGGTAACATATGAGGCTAGTATAATGGTGTGTAATCATATAGAATTGTGCTATCTGTAATGGGGTATGTGGTGGGGACTTGATAATGGGAATCTAGTAACTACAGTGTTGCTTATGGAATTGTATATTAATGATACCAAAAAAAAAAGAATTGTACTATCTATCTTTTTCCAAAATGTTAATAATGACCTAATATGAAGTGTTTTAAGGCTATTTTAGGACATTGTCTTCCCAAAGTTTTTCAGATTAAATGCATTA